CCAGTTGAATGTAATTATATTATATTTGTAAACTCTTATCAATTGATAATAAAAATATATTAAACTTTTAAATTTGGATTGTGAAGTTAGTTAAATGGACCTTATTTTTTGATCTATTAATAACTAAAATTATTTACGGTAGTGTTAGAGGCCTCGAATTTGCCTCGAATGCGTTTTTTTTTTTTTTTTGACTGTGTGTGTTAGTTTTTTTGTTTTGTTTTGGATTTTTTTTAAGGGTGGTTATGTGTAGAGATGTGCCAAAAAAATTAGACATTTCACACCAACTCATCGTATAAAATTATATGAAATTAACAAAATTTAACCTACAGTTTAACTAATCAATCAATTTTATTACTCAACCAGTCCAACCTAATTGACTGATCAATTAAATTACTGGTTAAAATTCGTTAATTTCATATAATTTTGTACGATGAGTTGGTGCGGGATGTTTAGTTTTTTGGCACATCCCTACACATTACCTTTAAAAAAAAAAAAACCAAACCAAACCAACACAGCCCAACAAATAAAATTAAATTATATTAAAAAAAAACTTGATCAGTTAATTTTATCACCCAATCAATCTAACCCAACTCACTTGTGGAATGTCTAATTTTTTAGCACACTCCTATACATAACCACCCTTGCAAAAAGAAATGAAAAGAAAATAGAGGGGAAACAAAATTAAAAAAAAAAAAAAAAAACCAAACTAACACAACCTTAGAAAAAAAAAAGAAAAAGAAAAAAAGAAGATGAAGGAATACGAGGACTCAAGCATTATTCAATTATTTAAGTGCCCCTAAATTTGTTAAAATTCAGGATCCAAGGTGGTGCCCTTCCTTGCTAGCTATCCTTAAGAGCGGACAAATATATTTTCATCTACAGAGGTTAGCAAAGATTCTTTGATCCTAAGATCTCTATTCCTTGCATTTTAGTTCTAAGATCATACTTTAAGATTTCTATGTTTATAGTTAAAAATGCATTACATTCGTAACAAAATCTTTTATAATTAAATAGATAAATAGGGATTGAGGACAGCAGCCCTGTTGTGCCTTATTTTTAAAGTTCATCTCAGGTCTATTTAATAATCTAACCGTTCATATTGTAGGATCCGAAGAACAAATTATCCATGAAAAAAATCAAATTAATCAGATATTTGTAACCTTATGATCATGCCTTAATTATTTTTTTAAAAAATTATTAAAATTGTATTAACCGTTTTTTTTTTATAATAAATGTGCTCTTATTATAAGGCTACACATGTTCAATCTACTTTATTTTTACACGGATCATCTACTCGACGAACCTTACAATATGAACATTTCATGTCATTTAAAAAGACTTAGAACCAGATACCATAGAATATCATAACAACCTGCTACAATATTTCCGATTTCGATAAATAGATAGTTGCTATAATTTACTAATGAATAGCATTAAAATGTTTTATTTTAACAATGTTATTCTAATGGTGCTATGTAAATTTTGTGAAAAAAAATTACAAGATATCAAATCAAAATTCTACGTTTTCAGTTTATATTTATAAAAATTTTATATACTGGTTTTTGTTTATTTTTAGAAAAACATAAACTACAAACGCGTTTAGTAATTGATAAAATGTTTAAAAAAAATTTAAAATATAAAAAAGTGTGAAATGGCAAGTGGTGGCAAGTGGCGGCAGAAGACAGTGATAAAAAGTAGTGACGGTGAGTGGTGGGCAGCAGGTGGTGGCAGGTGGTGGTGGTAGGTGGGTGGCCGATGGCTGGTGATGGCGGGTGTGTGGAGGTGGCGGGTAGGTGACCGGTGGTAGTGGTAGGTGGGTGGATGACTGTGGTAGCGAGTGGGTGGTGGTGACGGTGGCGGGTGGTGGATGGTAGCGAGTAGGTGGTGGTGGTGGTGGTAGCGGGTGATGGGTGGTGGTGGCAGGTAGGTGGCGAATGGCGGGTGGTGGTGGGTAGATGGGTGACGGTGGCGGTGACGGTGGCAGGTGGGTGATGGTGGCAGGTGGTTGGTGGTAGCGAGTGGGTGGTAGTAGTGGTGTTGATGGCGGTGGCGGTGGCGGTGGCGGGTGGTGGGTGGTAGATGGTGGTGGTAGATGGGTGGCGGATGGCGGGTGGTGGTGGGCGGTGGCGGGTAGGTGATGGTGGTGGGTAGGTGGCAGGTGGTGGTGGGTGGGTGGCTGACGGTGACGGGTGGTGGGTGGTAGCGAGTGGGTGATAATGGTGGTGGTGGCGAGTGGGGGGGGGTGGGTGGCGGATGACGGGTGGTGGTGGGTGATGGTGGGTAGGTGGGTGACGGTGGCGGGTGGTTGGCGGTAGCGAGTGGGTGGTGGTGGTGGTGGGAAAGATGATGACGAGGAAGATGATGACGAGGGAGGATGGAGGAGGACGGATTTGGGTAATTCAGGGAATGATGAGGGAGAGAAAGAGAGAAGTGAGTTTGAATATATATATATATTTATATTTAAATTTAGTAAATCAGGCCAACTTATCCATTTTATTTTTGATTTACTTTAGAGAGAGAAAACTTGAGAGAAATCAAAGATACAAAGGTGAAAAGACAAAGAGAGAATGAGGTGTTTTTTATTAAACACGAAAAGGTAGCAAAATCACATTTAGTGTGCCTAGGACAACGTGTTTGTCAGGTGGTGCGCGCAGAAGCGACACGACTTGATGGCGCGTGTCAAGTACGAATCAATGAGGAAAAGACGCGTGGCAAAAACGATTGAGAAACCATGCGTGACAGCTCATGAGCAGATAGAACTCTTGAAGTTCTTGATTTAATGAAGCAAAGACCTGC